GTCATCGGGCCGTCATTCGCGAGACAGCTGTGCTTGGGCACCGTACTTGGGCTACTTGGGCCGAAGACATCGCAGAACACCAAGCAGGCAAATCAGATCAAAAACAGCTGCTGCTAAAGCCTCAACTGACAACTACGAAAAACACTGTGCAACGCCGAAAATGCGAGTACAAGCACCAACCGTTGCCTGCACTTTGGGAATGAGGTCGCCAAGAACATCTGACTTGCTCTGTCTCCACCTCAGATACAGCATGCAGTAGAGAGTTGCAGGTGAGACCACGCTTGGCGTTGCTGAAAAACCTTCGACGAGACATGGACTCATCTGCCAGGGCTGCTGCAATGTACCTCAGACGCACAGTGAACGATTGGGCAAAGCTGATGATGGCCACTCGTCCCGGTCTTGAATACTCCTTCATCATGTGTTGTGGGGCACGGTATGCGCGTGGCCACCCCAGCGGTGACATCGATCAACTCCGGACGAGAAGCAGGCCTGTCGAATCTGCAGCATCCCGGAATCCCGTCGTCAGGACGTGGAACCTAACAGACGTTGCGGCAGGCCTGCAGCCCTCTGGCCCCTCAGAAGGCACCTCTGAAAACTGTGCTTGTCAAAACTCGAGGGTTGCAAATTGAGGAGCCATAAGCTACTGCAAGCTCACCCTGGCTGTCCGTTCTCAGGTGTTGTCCTGCTCTTTGGCAAACGATTCTGATTCTGCGTTGCACAGGGTGTAGGGCAGTGTATGGTGGCCGGAGTCCAGATCCGATGCTGCATGAGGGGCCGTAGCAAAAGACCTCGGGCCTCGGTGTGAACTGGCATTCAGATAAAGAGCTCTCGTTCAAACAACGGCAACTTCGCCGACACTGCAAGCCACGCTCTTTGAAACCCGAAGATCGAAGCTAACCTGGAATCCTGCCGCGGCCGCCTGGACATCTGCCTCCGAGGCGTGGACCTGAACTCTCCCTTTCTGTCTTTTAATTCGCGGTCAGAGGCAGGTGCTGGACTCCGACCTCCAGGGAGACGAAGCGGGGCGACTGCCTGCGAAGGCGAGGCGACCTGAGCGCCTGAGGTTCACAGCACACGCAATCACGATGGTGGCAAACCACATATCACGACTGTTCGCTCATCCCCTGCCTCGGCTGTTGGGTGATTTGAGGTCGACATGGCAACATGCACTCCAGCGACTCCAATGTCGTACTTGGCTGGGGCTGAACCTTTCAACTCTTTCCAACTTCTGCCTTCGCTTAGTTGCACTTCAGGAAGTTTCGGATATTCACTGCATCTTGTAAGCCGCATCTAGTCATCTGTCGCCGTGATGCGGGAAGGCGGTCATATGACTCTAAGCAGGGCTACCTTGGCGACCAATTCCAGGACACAAGTCTCGCTCTGGTGCCCTACTGTACGCGAAGCTCACCTTCATGTATCACTTACACATAGAACTTGTCGGGAGCCATGAGCTTCCGTCAAAGATGGCCCAGATCTCCTTGCTCGACAGACTTGTGGTCAACTCCCGGCCCTCGTCACGCCACCTCGAAAGCAGCAGCTCTCTTCCGGCAGGTCACTCCCAAGGGTCTGAGAGGGCGTGCGGGCCCTCCATGCCGTCTGCCAGCGCAATTGCCTGAATTTCCGGCTACCCCACTACTCTGTGGCTTGCATGGCTTGCACATCGGGACAGGAACCTTGTCTAGCCAGGCATCTATCCAAGCAGAGTCTTCAACGGACCTGGGCTGCGCGAAAATTTTGTGTTCCACCTCGGTGCGGTACAGCCTTGCCAAGGCCGGCACGCCGGCCTCTCCACCGTCTCCCTTCCCTTCTCCAGCCGGATGCGCTTCTCCCGCACCTGCGCTGCGACTTCGGAAGCTGGCACCTCGAAACTCGCATGGCGCTTCTGGGTCTCCTCAAGGACTTCCGCAAGGAAGAAGAGGCCAGCCTTGCAAAAGCTTTATGCTCTCACATGGACTCGCCAGGTGAGGTTACAGCACCGCCTACAGGGCCAGAAATCATCAAACTCCCAGCTAATGTCCAAATCCCAACGAAATCCTAAGTCGCAGTACACTGAAAGCCCTAATTCGAAGGCGTGCCACACTCTAAAGCCCGGACCAGTCCGGCTCGATGTAAGGTCTGGGCCATCACCAAAAGGCCAGCAGTCAAGAAGACTATGAAGAGAAGCCTGCACCATGGCCTGCAAGTTCAAAGGTAAACGGAGACCTCGCCAAGCCACACTAAGCCAAGAGTGGGCCAGAAAGAGCCACCAAGACCAGGCAGCACGAATTGTCACGGCGCCAAGAGGGGCCTGGAAAGGCAGCCCGGGAGCAGCAGCTGCGGGGCCAGCGCTCCCATCTGGCACACTGCAAGTACGTCCAAGTCCAAGGCATCACAGGAGCTGTCGGTCGATTGTGCTTTTTCCTGTCTTGCCCGAGAACACTTCACCAGTCATCATGAGAGCAGCTGAGGCATGTGAGACCGCCTTCAATCTATTGATCCTTCGAAGGCCTTCAAACTATCGACCTTGTGAGACGGCCTTCAAGCTAACAATCCCGGTTGGCTGATCAGCTGTCTTAGCTGCGCCACGGTGACACGATTTTTCAGAGATTCCCGGGCCAATCTCCGTTCATTTCGTACCATGGTAGCCGGCGCGCCAAAAAGCACTCTTCAGAGTGACACAGCGACAAAGCGCTTTTGACTTGCACGCGGCCACTCGGTTTCTGTACATCGGGCCGAAGGCGGCGTTCAGCTGTCATTCTTGCGCTGCTTTGCCTTCGGGCGCAGGTCGGGCTGCCAGGCCGCCAAGGCAGAGTGCAGAGTGTTCACGCATTGAGCCGCCGGCATCGATGTATGATGGCTTCTGTCCAGCGATATGTGTCGAGAAGTGAGCCTCGGGACCTGGCTTTCCGCCATAGGTCTTCCCCTGGGTGCAAAGAACTCGCTATCGGCACACCGCCACCAGACTAACACTATGCGCCCGGCTGAATCTTTGGCTTGCTCCTTGACCTCATTTATTTTCATGGCTTGCTCCTTGAAGACTTTCCTGGTGGCAGGGATGCTTCGCTCTCCCACAAAGGACGGCTTTCACACCAACTGAAAAAACTCGTGTTCCCAATGACATTGCTGAAGTGACACCTCCTTAGCCACCAAAATCCGACATGAAGTGCAGACCAGCATCTTTTGCCACTTGTTCTTCCGCAAATCTAGAAGGTCTTCAATCGCAAAGCGGATGCGCTTGGAGAATGCCTGGCAATCTGTACAGGGATTTCCATATGGGGCAGCATGCCAGTTGAATCTCATAGCCAGCTTTCTCCAATTTGGCTCCCTCTTGTGACACAGAGGCTCTGCAACTACGAGTTTTGCAAAGAATCATGTGGCTTGGCCCCAGCAGCTTCAAGACAGCCGCCTGCTTGCCGTCACTCGAGAGATGCTTGGACAAATCCTTCAGCCGAGCCTGGTCCAGTGTGGCACAGCATGCACGCAGCATGCATAGGCTTGGGGGGGGGGGGGTCGAAACTGGCGAGGAGAGTGACGAGTTTCGTCAGCAAGATGGCCTACCTTCGCTCGGTTATTGGCGTGTTGCACGCTGTGAGTATGTCCGAAACGTGACTGACAAGCACCGCCTGGAAGGAGTTCATCAAGTTTTCTCCGTGCGTGTTCTCATCGAGAGTGTGCCCGATGGCCTTCAGGTGTGCTAAAACTCTTCTTCGCTTGTAGTTGCCGAGCCCGTAAGATTGCATCGGCCCAGCCACCATTCCCGTCCTTCCCTTTCATCTCCCGCCTCGAGCAGCTGGCATACACACCTGAGAACCATAACAGTTGCACATCCAGAATTGTAGAATCAAGCCGGCACGGATATAGAAAAACATTAGACAACCATATCAATATTCTCGGAAGTAATTGCTCCAAAACTGCGCTTTCAACATGCCTTTCTGTCGGCGGCCTCGACTACAAAATGCAACCATTAAATGCGAACATGTCGTCCAAATAAACATGCAAAGACAATGTGAAAAAAACAACGCGAGACCGCCTGGAAATCCTCGGATTTTGAAGCACTTGCCAAAAGCCCGTTTTCGGTTTAATCTTGACGAAGCTCTGTTGTTTTGGATGTCTTCGCATGTCCAAGTGGCCCTTGTTTCAAGCGACTGCTTGTTGGCATTTCTTGCGCATTCTTTACAATTTCCAGGACCGAAAAGCCTTATGACACATGTGCATTCGTAGTTACGGCTCACACGCCGAGGCGCTCGATCATGTGCTCTTCTGGCACAGAGTTGCCGTCTTTGATGCCGATAAGGTCGTGGACCACCTGCCCAATGACCTCACAAGGAGCGCAGACCCGAACGCAGATCCTGCTTCATTCTTCATCCCAGCCTTCACTGCCAAAAGCTGCCGCAAAAACAGGTGGCCGATAAACTTCCTTGTTCTGAGGGGCTGCACAAGCTGCACTGGACATTCAAAATTGCGTACATCTGCTCGCGCAGCTGACATCGAGAGTCATGTTGGCCAACATCATGTCCTTCTTCCGCTTCAGCCTCAATCTGACTTCTTCAATGAAGGCACTTGGAAGGTCAATGCTTATGCACTTTTGCATCTTCTCGTGCACTCTGATACTCGCATTGCACAGAACCACTCGCAAAAGCTCCATCTTGTCAGCCGAAGCAACTCTAGTTGGAGGTCCTCCGGATTGGGAAACTTAATTCGTTCCTCGTCCGTGGCTTCGAACGTGGATGGCATGTTCTCAAACTCGTTTTGGCCTTGGCCAATTGGCCGCGAAGGCTGGTGTCATCGCAATATACTGCAAGCACAAGCCCACGCAGCAAAAAAAAAACATGTTCAATCCAGGCCACAGTTGTTCAACAACACCTCTCACACAGATCACTTTGCAGGAAGCCCATGCTCGAGATGCGCTTGACCTCTGTACCTTGCACCTTCCTTCTGAAACACAACGAGCTTTCCGGGGTTGGCACCCTTGTGAAGGTGGCAGGCTTCTCCCCTTCACTTTCTGGTGGGAACTCTGGGTA